CGATCCCAATACGAAGTTCGCGAACATTAGGGATATCCATCGGGCTCAAATCGAAGCGGGTGAAAAGGAGGTTATCACGGCTGAATCCAGCGACTCTGAATGCCCTAGTGAGGCTGGCAGCTGTATTGTAGTGGGTGTGGTTGAGGATCAATAGTTAATAGTAATGAGGAGGTTGGGTTGTGATCCCATCGTTTTTGTGGTGCCAGAAACAGGGGGGTGCCAGGAAGTGGGTATGTTGACTTACTGCTCCGATACCCCTATCATCTTTGAGCGGTTATGTGCCTTCGGCCAGCTACAAATCCTTAGGGAATCAAGGAACAAGAGGCGAGAGATTCGACCGCTTTTTCATGAATTTGTCGACGCCAGATGATCTGTATGGCTGTCTGAAAAGCCAGCCAGGTGCTTGTGCGGAGATAGGCAGGGTCATCTGGTGCGATGGTGGTTTCTGGACCTATGACAATTCCAAGGGACGTCCTGGAATCACCTTGGGCTACGATAGCCACACTCGCATTTCTATAATTTCTCCCACGTCAACGAAATCTCAAGGTCGTACCGACACACACCTATTCCTTGCCGGCAGCCCAGATACCCAAGATCGCGCAGACCTGCATTTTGTCGACGGCAGCAATAACAGGACTTATATGCCAAAAGACTGTTATTTCAACTATAGGGATACCTGGGCCGTACCTCACGATTGTGTCCGGCCCTTGGATAAAGGCATCATTCGCGTCGACAAAAACAGTCGGATTTTTGATACCCAAAACAAATTTGCGGAAGCCTAAGCTTTATCACCTGAAAGATAAAACTTGAATTCCACCATCTCTCCTCGGAAACAGAAGCTCCCTCCAGCCGCTGGCGCAAGTAGGATGTGCACACAGTCTTTTCACTTGAGCCCGAACAACACTACTGGGTGGACGGACCCTAAGCTTCCGAACAGGCCGAGCCCGAGGTCTAGGAAAACTCACAATTTCCACGAAGTGGAAGATCGATTGTTAATTTGATTCAACTTGTCGGTCGAACGGTCATACCCCGGTGTGGTAGAGAGGGGGAGGTTGATGGCGTTGGTACAAGTCGTTCATTTTGAGAACCTATCCTATTTCCTAAGAAACGATCAAAACTGAAACCCCCCCCCCCCCCCCGGGGGGGGGGAAAAAAAAATAAAGGGAAGAAAAGGAGAGGAGGGGAAAAAAAAAAAAAAAAAAAAAAAAAAAAAAAAAAAAAAAAAAAAAAAAACAAACCCCCCCCCCCCCCCGGGAAGGTGGAAAAAAAAAAAAAAAAAAAAAAAAAAAAAAAAAGAAAAAAAAAAAAAAAAAAAAAAAAAAAAAAAAAAAAAAAGAAACCAGAAAAACAGGTAAGAAAAAAAAAAGATATCCTTTGTCGTTTTTGTAGCATTGGAGCAGGTCTCCCTCTCATATTCAAGTTCGGCATGAAGAGATTTGGGGGGCCGGCTTAGGGTCTACCTTGATGTCATGGTGCTATCACACTGTACAAAGGCTGTGTCCGGGAGGGGCGAGGTCGCTAGATTTTAGTTAGGTGCTTCATGGCCAACGGCAAAATCTACCTTGTGCTCTCCATCGAGGATCTTGACCAGGATTCCGTACCTCTACATGGATGTCTATTGACTAGCTAACTCCAAGCTCAGCCTAAGTAATCTCAACAAGGATATCTGAACTGTGTAGGGTTTCAATCTGTTGGAGAGTGCGAACTTACTCTCCCCTTTCCCAGATCATTAGGGATTTCAATTACGTACACTGTATGGTAAAGAGGAATGACATATGTAGTTTGAATCTTAGACTGTGGGGACCAATTCAAACAGCAGATGTATCGAAGGTGAATATGCTGGAGTATCCAATTATCAAGGATACATCGATATAAGTTCATTGCAGAGTCCGGATATAATAGTACGGGTGCTGGAAATAGAGATGGTGGAATCGAATAGGGACTTGGACAAAGTGATGTGCGCTGGTTTCGATAGGCAGACGGTCTGCACTAACCCGGCAGTATACTTTCAGCATGGCGGCCGCTAACATCGGTTGACGCTAGAAATACAGTGATCCCCCGAGTCACATCCTATAGCCCCCGAAGCATGCCCTGAACGGACTTTCTCTAGAATGTCGAGTTACCAACACGATGTTCATACAGTGGGGTGTCTAAAGTTCGTGTGCAGCGCACAGTATCCCGCAAAAGTACTACTTTTCAACAGCGAATAAAAACTTGAATATAATAAGAAAAAGAAATCGAAAATCACTATATAACTAATTAACTATAATATTAGTATATATCTAAGTTATATTATATTTTTCTTTATTATAAACGCGTTAAATAAATCTTTTATAAAATAAGTTTTAAGAGATTTTTATTATAATAGATTATAGGGCTGTTTAAGTGCGAATAGCACTGTACTTCTTAGTAGATTTATTTTTATCTCAAACTCTAGCTTTATATTATAGTATAAAGTACTAATATAACGTATTTTAAAATATATAAAAAATAGTTTTATATACTTTATATACTAAAGTATTTTATTAAATTTTAAGTTATATTATTTATACCTAAGTTAGAAAGATATTTATAGTAATAAAGAGACGTAGTTAGTGGGCTATAGGTGACGCACTGGGAGGGTGTACACGAACTTTTGACACCCTACTGTACATTGACATGATGTTACTCAATTGTATACGTACTTATGCAGTTCCCTGAAATTCAATATCGAGTACATAGTGCTAGCGATCGAAGCAAGTGATTTAAACACATTTCCTTCCGGCACATATCAAAGGGAAGGTAATCTGCTCCTGGGCTTTAGTAGATAGGCAGAAGCTGAATTACAGTGCAGCCCCATAGAGGCCTCTGACCCCAACCATAGAAGCTTAAAAACGGTTCAGCTCCATTCTCGCACACCATGAATGCACCATTAAAATCTGGACCCATTTCCCCGGGATAGTATACCCCGTTTTCGTTGAGGGTGAGACCTTGTGTACCGTCTTCGCACTTGAGCTCCACTGGTCTACCGCTAGGTACCATCGCAGGCCCGCGCCAGGGCACCACCATGCCGGAAAAGGAGGATGAGTCGCCGCCAAAGTCAACGCCAAGGGTATTATTATTGGCATAGAACATGCTTCCTTGACTCTCGGGTACCAGGATCACGGTGGCTTGACATGCGGCGTCGGAGACGTAGCCGAGCTCATAACCCTGGATAATAGGCCCATTGCCTGGAGAATCGGGGTAAAGCATGTTGGCCCATAGACGGAAACTGTTGGTTCCATCATCGTTCCTGGCGGAAATGGTTGCCGCTATTGCACCAGCAGCAAGAACGGTTGTTTTCAGGATGGCTTGAATGACCATTTCGAAGTTGTCTTTGGATAGAATGAGGAAGGTTGGCAATTAGGTTTCTTTGATAAACGTATGGACGCACAAAGCATTTGGTTACGGTCTGGAGTTGATATGATGCAAGGTACCGTGGAAAGATTCGTCCTATTTATATTGATGTCCACCAATCTTCGGTATGACTCCAAGACCTGTTTCAATATGGTAATGTAACGACATTTTGGGCCTTGTCGATATTCCGCCCATGTATGTCTTCTGTTTGTGGCCGGATCTTCCCACACCGCTCGTAAGATGGTGGGCTTACGAGAGTCCATTCGACTGCAGGTCTGCCTATGAGGACCTCCGCAAGATATTGCCTCGGGAAGGAATTTCGCTAGTCGGACGCTGGCCAAGGCTGACTTACATCAATTGTCCACGATCTACCTCGTATCCTTGAGGCAATATTACGTGCATAAGCTGTAAGATCAGATATGCCTAAGCGAATTCCAACAAGGCTATGATTACCATGCGATCAGAAGAAAACAAATACGAGGGACTGTACACAAGAAACGTCATGCGCTTTCGAATTATCAAAAGAGGTGTAGAACGCAGCTAAAGACCAAAGGATGTCCTCTCTGGCTGTTTGACTTATCCAGCGGCAGCTGAGTATGGGAACAGTGGCCTCAGGAGGAGATCTTCTGAAGCTGATGCTAACTCCTAATGTTGATTATCGATTTACAAAAAAAAAAAAACGTTTCGTCTTGTTGAGTGAGTTCATGGTTTCTGCAACCTGGTGCTGCTATGTCGCCAATTCCTCTCAATCACCTTTTGTTCAATGATTAGTTATGTGTCACTTTTACCCGCATTGCAGAGTAAGTATGTGAGAGCCCTCAAAGACCCGATCCACTGCCTTCCTCGCCAAAGTTTTCGACAGTGCGGCCTATTTTCCCTTAGTACGTGGCTACATACAACCTATAGTGACCTGATTGAAATGATGATTCATTCACAAAGTGCATTCTTGTGGGCATTGTGGACTAGATGATGGGGAGTGAGATGACAAGAATTTGTGGTGGACGTAGTAGGCTTCACTTAGATCGCCTGTATATCTCGTTTTGGAACTATTTGGCAATGATTTCCTTTTCCTTCATTCCGACTTCGAGGCCACAAACCATGGCTAGATTTCGCCGAAAAGGAGACTATTGGCGTCCAGCTCGTCAGGCCCGGGAACCTCGTCGGACTGCCTGAAATGCGCGTACCAGGCCAGAAACTCTGGAATCGTCTCAAAGATGTGTAAGCCGTGATCCAGCGTAGAAAGAGTGTACCTCCACTTCCAAGGATCTTCGTCAGACTCGCGGCTATACACAATGCTGAAGTTGGCATCAGGCCCTGTGCCAGGCGCCCACCCTCCCGCGATTTGCCAGCACTCTGGGAGGCCCGCGTGCTGCGTCAGGTCCTCAGGTGTCATCACCCTGTCGGCGTGCGGGCATAGATCATCTCGGCAACCCCACCAAAAGGCCGGGTGGGCCCGGTTCCGAAAGACGGGCAGCCCATAGCCCACAATACCGTCAACGAGCCTGGCCAGCACGCGAAAGTCCTCGGGAATCGAAATGGTTTCTCGCACGTCTTCTCTAGACTTTCGCTTCAGACTCTCTTCAATGACGGAGAGGTACTCGCGACGAATAGCGTCACGCTCCTCAGAGGTGCCTTCGTGCTCTTGCATCACGTAGGTACCGTCGAGGCCAATCCTCGGCGCCAGCTCATCGAAACGTGTAAGAATCTCGCTGGGCTCTGAAACGCCAAAGTCTTTGATGGTGGTGTCAAGAAGCGTGTTAAGGCCGTCCAGGCGGAGTTCTTCGACGTCCTCATCATCTTCTACATCGTCAGGTACCGCGGTGGCAATGAATGGTACGTAAATATCGAGAGCGCGGCGGTTCTGCGTTGAGATGAATGAGCGATATGCAGCCAGCGAGACTGCGATGTCATCTGGAGATGAGGCCATCTTAGAAGACGAGGGCTGAGGAATGGATTCTAACAAGCGGTGTCAAGCAAGTGATATCAATTAGAAATTTAACAGGGCCTCGGGGAGATGAATGAAAGATCTCTGGGTCATGTTGGACGGAAGCCTCTTCTAGATTCTAGGCAACCCTTTAACTTAGCTCGTAGTCTAACCAAACCGGGATCGTCAAGCAAATGTGGAGAACATTATGTTTGCGGCGACATCATGTGCTGGAAGACACTGAATTTCCTCAAACTATAAGTATCAACGTTTACGTGGTTCGCGGGAGAAATAAGTAAAACTGCACGAGTAAAAGAAGCAATTCTCGGTACCTCTGAGAACTTAAATACACGAGAATAAATGAATTAAGAAGTGGAGTTGTGAGGGCATTTGGCTCAACATGTGAGATCGACCCGGCTTGTCTTCCCTCCTTTGATCTGAACTCGGCCGCATGCTCTACTGGCTGCGCGTGTTTGTGGCCAA